ATTTTAACGGTTTTCGGCAAAATTCATTTATTACAAGATATTAAAATAATCCATTCCTTATTATGTTTGATATACGGTTTGACATATATTAAATTACAAATTAATTTAGTAAACGCATAGTCAATTAAAGTCAAACAGTATAAATAGCGGTGATTAATGTCAATTTAGTATATGATGTAGGTAGTGGAAATTATTCGGATTATGACTGCAAAAATAATGCAGGTCAGAGATAGGCGACAAAACAAAGAAGCAATAATTGTGCAAATATGCTATAATTTTGCAATCGTTTCCAATTATTTATTTAATTGGGCATTAAGCAAGATGTTTAACTGCGATGAATATCAATTTATCAAAGTCGATAACAGTGAACATTAATTGATCAAAGTATTTAGATCAATTTTATAGTACACTTTAAATTTATCTTTATCATATCGTTAATTTATAAATAAAAGTCATTGAACTAAAAAATAAAAAACTTGTTCAATATGGTATTTTTATTCACTAAACAATGATTTTTCGTCCATTTTTGTTTTTAAAAAAATTTTTTTAAAGAAATTTTTTTAAAGAAAATTTTTTTAATTAATTTTTAAAGAAAGAAACGAAGAAAATTTTTATCAAAGAGTTTAATAAAATCATGAATACAAAAAAATATCTTTCATTTTTCCCTTGCATTCTCTCTTTGATATATATATATATATATATATATATATATATATACATTGAAAACAATAGAAAACAATAGACATGTAATGACAATATAATAAATTCTTAAACACGTAAACGAATCCAACATTAATTAGCATCTAACGCGGTAAAAGGTGATTAAATGTGTGTGCGTTAGCATTTTCGTGACGGGATATATTAAAGCAGAAGCCACGAATTATCGAATTATAGAACTGTAAAGAATCCTGTTCCGTGCTTTCTCATAATAGTGTCGCGATCAATATGCGTGGATAATATCATTGCAAAAGAGTAGCGCCGTCGCGACGATCGGCAATTTGTTCTGCAATTCACGAGGCGACCCAATCCATTCGGAGCATCATCTTCATTTCATCTGTGCCCGGCTGTATTTAATCGGAATTTATAGTTCACGGTCGAATCGTTCTTCATCCTGCCACTCCTCGTTGCCGAGAATTTCCTACCGCCTGCCGCCTATCTCGAACGGTCTAACTGCCGATGCTAGCGTGAAATGATATAAAAGATAATCTCAGGGGGATGATCGTATTGTTGAAACGCGAAACCAAGTGTCAAATGCAACTTAAAACCGTCATATTATCAAACGATTGATAACAATACAGAGTTATATACAGAAATATGTGACCGTTTATGAAAATCTCTGTATAAATTCATTCCCAGAAAAAAACAGCACAGTTTCCAAGTCTTAAATATATTTTTATTAAGACTATTTGTTTTGGAAAAAATATATATATATATATATATATATATATATTTCTCGTATATCTCATTAAAAGATAATTATTAAATTTTCAGATGTGTTTGCTAAACTGTATCTATGGAATCTATGTGAATAAATCAAACAACAATAAAATATAATTGCTAGGGTTCGAAAGTTAATAATTATTTATAATTTACAGATTTAGGAAGAAATGCGCATTCATGCAGTGAATCTCGTATTCAAATCCACGCCCAGTGTTACGTATGTATTACACAGATTACGTGACAAGCGAGTACTTGTCATGGTTAAAAAAAAGCCGTCTTAAAACCAACTTCGATAAGAATGAGTCATAAAATGATATAGGAAAAAATATATATCTAGAAGAAGTTAAAATTTCATCTTTTATCAATATATATATTGCTCAAAAGCAAAGATTTCCTTATCTAATTTTTTAATGAATCTCAATTCATGAATTATATACATATCATTACATGACATATCTCTTTTGCAAGCATTTGATTAAATGATTTATAAACATTGAAATGATAATTAAAATCTTTTATCACAAAATTGAATTTTAATTATTTTTATCAATTTTGACTATAACAAATGAGTAGCAAATAAATATATAATAGTATATAAATATTAGTACATAGAAAAAAATTAACGCAGAAGCAATTGACAAACTGATTGCAAGCTATAATCTTGCAATTATTAGCTAATGCTTTATTTACTTTTCATAAAATATTAATTATAAATCAAAGTTTTATCTATACATTAAGAATGAGACAAACATTATTTTAAATGTAAACACAGATTCTAATGAAAATTTTAACATTCTGTCTCTAATTTTCTTAACTATCGATCTTAATTAAAATTGTTTTAAAATTAAAATATTATATAATCATATTAAAATTAATTAATATAAAAATAAAATAAAAGAATTATTGTAAAAGATATAAATACATAAAAATGATAAAATTGATAAAATTATGTCATTAGATGTCATTAAAATATCAACAAGCACATGATTAATTATTTATGTAATTATCAGTAATGTAATTAAACTCATCAATTTTTTAAATTAATGTTAATCTTTAAGTTTCAACATTAATCAATAAGTATAATGATAAATAATATGATAATATGATAAATAATATGATGTAAGAATAACGATTAGTAATATGACGTTATTTATTAAGCAAGCTATAAAAGATAAATCCTTTTTTATAATATATTTTATTATTTATTTCATAACATATTTTGTTTTGATACTTTATTTTTATTCGATATAAATTTTTTTTAATATAAAATAAGTTACGCAATAAACATAATAAAATAACATTTTAATTAATTATTGTCATATGTTAAAAATAATATTAAAGTAATCTTGAAGAAATCTGTTTAGAAATCGACTAGGCTTGAAGTCGTATGACACATTAAATGCGGAAAAATATATATTTCTATGTATTTGAGCCTTACACAAGGTGAAGATAACGGTGAAGTGTACAGACGGTTGAGTGCGCCAAACACGTGGGAAACACTTTTAATGCACAGCGAAACCGCTGCTAGAAACTACACGACGAAATATCAAAAGAATTTATATTGTCCATAAAACTAATTTTATAAGTAATGTATATCACTAAGGAGATTATAGTAGTTTATATATACTATTTTTTAAAAGTAGTATAAAGATAATCTATTAATATTGAATTACCTTCTTATCATCGAATTTTATCGAAAAAAAGTCTTCAGTAGCTTCAATATCGATTTAATTTAAAAATTGCGTAATTAATTTCTTTATCTTTAAAGAAAATTCTCAACCTACACACTATTGTTATATTTTTTGCCCACAATCATTTTATGCAAATGGTTTTAAAAATTATTAACAAGATTATTTTTGCAATAAATACAATGGCATAAAAAGTTTTAAAATAACAATAGCGATATATCTATTTAATGTGAAATATTGAACAACCCATAAATTCTAACAGCGTCTCGAACAACATTGAATAAACTAGAGAATAAAATAAAAAGTATTTACGTATTAATTAATCAAGTAAAGAAAATCTATGAAGTAATCATCTCTCCAAGAAAAACAATATCAATCATTCAGACGAACTGACGTTCATTAAATATGGATTGTGTCCATGAACACTCGTTAAAGTTAACTGAGGTTTGATCGATTCTCTCTCTCTCTTTCTCTCTCTCTCTCTCTCTCTCTCTCTCTCTCTCTCTCTTCTCTTCTCTCTCTCTTCTTCTCTCTACTCTACTCTCTCCAACTAGAATTTAAAAAATAGGTAACATTACTTAAACCTCGTTTAACTTTAACTGTATTATTTATTACAATTTTTAAATAATTTGTAAATTATGACGATCATGGTGATGTTTGGTAATTCGAACTTTATGCAATTAATTTGCATGGTTCAATGATGTTTACTTGTTATGTCATTCGCGATTCCGAGATATGTGAAAGACAACCATTAATATCTTCTTTCGTTTGCATTCAATCCTACTTTGTGAATTATTAGATATTATTATACCTGAGGCCGTCAATTTCAGACGTATACACATCCACACACCTATTTTTATCAATAATTGCATGATGATCTTGTAAGTTATACATGCGTGTCATGTGAGAAGTGGTGTTACACGGTGGAATGAAATAAAATCAAAATAAAATAATTGATGTCCGAACTTGCATGCGTAGTGCGTGACATCCCGCAAATCTGATTTATTTTTAAACGTTTTTTTTTACGTAATGTTCACTTAAAATATAAACCGTTCACAATTTTGTTCATAATAAAATATTTTCTATCGATAAAACGATAAAACTCAATAGACGTACAGCATATCACGTGGGATATTTAAATATTCTAACGATCGAGAGTAGTCGTCAAATGTATTGTGAAAAATTATATCTCACGCAATCTAACTGTATCCTTGGAATTCTAAGACCGGCACACTCACTAGAGGACACTTACCTTAGAAATATAATGCGACACTTGTTTTTTTCCTCGAGTACCGTTCACAATCTAATAAGTTATCGCGGCTATAGATAATTTCGTGGACCCTCTGCGATAACGCATGAGAAATCCACTTCGTGAGCTCATAAATCTCTTTATGGTTTCGATTTGTGATTCGAGCGCGCGTAATCGCTTATTGTCTTACATAAACTTTTGCGAAATAGGAGGAAAACTTACGACATTAATTCTTTAAGCGTAAAATGACCAGCGTTCATAGAGAACGTGTTCTTTTTTGAAGAAGCGAAGCTTCTTTTTCGATTGAAAAGTTACGCCGCGTGTCGACGGTATGAGAGACGCGTGCTGCCGATCAGCTGTTCAGCATCCAGCGACCGGCCGGGATGAAAGGATCTTGTGTTATCCTTCACGTCTCCCATAAAGTCAATTAAAAAGTATTTGTGATTTCGGGGAAAGAATCTTTTCTCCTGTACGGATACATATATTTGCATTCGCGCGCGTATTCAGATCTCCCGAATTTTAACTCATACGTGTTGCGATCAGTCGCGACACGTTTTTCTTCTTTTTTTTTTTTAAATTCTGTCTTTTAAGTTCTCAATGTCCTTATCGTGCTGGTTACTCACTGTTTCACGACGGAAAGTTCCACAGAAAATCCGCAACCATCTACCACCGAAGCGCGCACACGAATGCAAACTGAGCGTCTGACGCGATGTAACTATTTTCGCACGAAGCCGGGTTCCCCCATTCCGTAACACCGTAGGCGGTCAT